GCGTTTGCACCCAACTCCATTCACAGTGGTCCCGCATGCCACTGTTGTGATCCGCATGCACCCATCTGCGGCAAAAAAGAGGTATTTGCCAGACTTCAGCATTTGCTAGGCCAATGAAGGTTGACCATCACTGCAGATATTGCTAAGTAACATCTTACCTGATGTACAGTTTTCTTGGAAATGGTGTTCAGCAACAGTGGAGTTGCCCAGAGTTGTGTGTAGAGGATGTACACATTGCCTCTTGTAAGCACTTGAGTTTGGAACAGGGTTGTGACCAGCATTGGTATGGATGAGCATTTGGGACACAGAAAATATCAAAGCAAAACAAAGATCTGTAATTTATTGGTAAAGATATCTTATTGTTTTGTTTCTCTGCTAAACCCTCGAGGTGTATATTATTACAGTGCTTATTGGTGTCCTGCAATTGTTAACTGGTATCAACACTTAAAATAGTTTAATGTTGCATAAGACCTCCAATCATGCTGGATATACTGAACATTTATGAATATTGTTAATAAAGATTGCAACTGTACTCCGTCTTGTTTCCATTTTTTTAATGTTTCAAGAAGTTGAAAGTGATAGTTGTATGACTGTCTAAACAATGTTTTTTGCCTTCAATACATGGGTTGGTTTACTAAAGGCAAATGGCCTGTGCAATTACTCATTTTTCCCAGAGCGTAGTGAATGTGGTGAAGGTTCACTTTGTAAAGAATACACAATCAGATGCAAGAAATATGAAATTTATTTTTCTTGCATGTGATTAGATGGGAATCTGCATTGATTCACCACATTCACTGAGCTCTGGGGAGTGCCCAGTCTTTGCCTTTAGTAAATCAACCCCATTAATTTGGACATTGAACAAGTACAGATGTAAGAATTTGACACTTGCTGCATGCTTGTGCCTGGTTTCTAAATCAGAGCTATTGAAGTTGGAACACTATACTATATGTAGAAGAGTAATTGGTAACCGCATATCCCTTCAGTTATATCCCTTTTTTATAACTCTTACTCACACCTAGCATTTAGCTTCTTTTTTTTTGGGGGGGGGGGGGTGTATTTTGTATTTGCAAAATACCTTTTATTCAACACTCCTAAACATGTTGAATTTTCCCATATTTAAACAAACTGCATTTACAAAATATTTTGTATTCTCTGCTATAATCCTATGGGAGTGTTTTTTTTTTTTTTTTTTTTCTATTGAAGCAAGTCTTCCCCATCTGAAGAATGAAGCCAATAGGTAATTAAAAGCAAATACATCCTGGGATATTTTAAATACACAGGGCACTGTGATATCTATATACAGACCTTTGTTTTTCAAAGTCTGGCCTTGTAGCCTTTTGCAAGCATTGATTGGGCGAGCCCTCAACCCTGGGAAGCAAAGGGTGCCATGTTTAACTAGTGCTGCGTTACAAATTACCCAAGTCATATGAGAGAGAGGCACAGAGAGAAGTTAAAAGCTTCCCACTACTGCCCTTCAGTTCTTGTGTTTCCTGCAGGCACAGCAATTCCCATTTTTTGTTTTTATGATTACCATAGGAGGTGCCTGGGAATGCCTCTCCCTAAGTCTCTGGTGTCAACAGGTGAGGTGGTCAAGACCGGGGGGAGGAGGTTTGCAGGTCTCTGTATGCTACATCATCCTTGATTTGTGACCTTACTCTCTAAAGCTGTTGGTATGGTGAGAACGCGCATGGGGATGTGGAGGTCTGTCTGCTAGCTTTCCTCCTTGGGAAGAAAAGGGTGCCATGTGTTTTGTGTGTGTGGTTTTTTTATTTTTGTTTGGGTTTTTTCTTTTTTTTTTTTTTTTTTTTGGTTTTTGTTACACCTTCATGCCAAAGGGTAAAACAAATCTTAAAGCCTAAGTAAAATTTTACAACTTTGACGTGTTTGGTATCACAACTACTTTGTACATTCAGGTGACTTATACTTTTTTTTTTTTTTTAACTGTTTCTTGTTACTAAAATGAACAACCCAAAATAAATTTTCCAGCTCTTGACGATCGCAGTGATACCATACGTGTGTATTATTTTTATGTTATTTGTTTTTTTACCTGTACTACAGCCCAGAAACAATAGTGCACATTTTTGTTTTTTTTCCTTCTCTGAATGGAGGAGAGAGACAATGTATCACTCTCCCTCTCCCCCCTTGCATGGGGGGGGGGGGCGCAGCTTCAGTAACTGATCACTATGATAGCCAATCAGAGGCTATCACTGCGATCATGTGACCTGGAATCCGGAGTCCTGGGTCCTGATCGTTAGAACGGGACCTGGGCTGTCAGTGACACCCCGGTCTTTGTGCTGGGAGAGCGCTGTGTGGCGTGCTCCCACCATGAAGAGGCTACACAAATCTGTGGCCCCAGGGAAAAAACCCAGTTCTGTGAGGCCGCATATTTGTGTGACGTCGGCGCCAAGGGGTTACGTTTTCCAAATGAACAAAAAAAAAAAGGGGAGCAGGGTAGCTAGTGATGGGTACACAATACAGCTCAGAGAAGAATCACGGAAAAGCAAGATAAGGTTCACAAATATTGTCATTCCCATCACTGGTACAGCAAAGAAACAGCTGGTGAGCATATCACAGGACAAATGGGTAAACCACCTGCGCTACTCAAAATATACAAACTACACAACTAAACATTAAAAAAAAATATATATATATATATCTATCACCTGACTAAAACTTGAATGTGCTAATGAACAATGAAAAAAATGGTGTTGCACTCCCTAAATCGTATCTAAATACAACCCATAAATATATACACTCCTAGATTGTAAGCTCGAAAAAGCAGGGCCCTTGAACCCCTCGTATACTGTTTTGTTACTGTATTGTCTCATGTACTGTCCCCCACTACTCTGTACAGCGCTGAGCAAACTTTTTGGTGCTATATAAATACTGTATAATAATATACATTAACCAATAATCATGCATATAGACATAAATAACGTGATACTTAGATAAAAAAACATCACGTTTAGTTTTCACTTATTTATGTCGTGATGTTTTTTGTCTACACACGTATGTTTATTGATCTCAGTATCACATGTTGTTATTTGTCTATATGCATAAGAATATTGGTTAATGTATATATTTATGAGTTGTATTTGGATACCATTTAGGGAGTGCAACACCATTTTAATTTTTTTTCATTATATCACAGGACAAAGTCCTCATGGGTGCCACATGTAAATGACTAGTCCTGTGTTGCTAATTTTCAGTTGGAAAAGTTCACTTTCAAATTATGGAAAGGAAAGGGCCCTCCTTTTTATTAGTTTGTGTTGCTATATACTGTCATTCTTGGGTGAGCCACATTTCCTGTTATGTCGCTGAGATAGGAAGGAGAATTCTATTGGATAAGATTACTAATTTTGAGTTGGCCAATTTACCTTTTGAGGGAGTAGTCTGCCACCGTTCTGCTAAATGCTCTATTAGACAAATTACCATTTTAGAACACAGAATACTTTTTGGACGTTGATGACATCTCTTCAATAGTTATTTTCTAAACTTTGAAAGTGGATAATGGGTTGGTGGGATTGGTTTACATTGTTTTTGCTTTCAGTTTATTCCACAGGACACTGCATTTCTGGCAGACTCAACAGGCCTTTTTTTTGTACTTGGCCTGAAAATTGATACCTCCTATCGTGTCTAAGTTAAACAGCAATATACACTCACCTGCCACTTTATTAGGTCAACCTTGCTAGTACTGGGTTGGATCCCCCTTTTGCCTTCAGAACTGCCTTAATTCTTGGTGGTATAGAATCAACAAGATGTTGGAAACATTCCTCAGAAACTTTGGTCGATGATGACATGATAGCATCACGCAGTTGCTGCAGATTTGTCGGTTGCACATCCATGATGCAAATCTTCTGTTCAACCACATCCCAAAGGTGCTCTATTGGATTTAGGTTTGGTGACTGTGGAGGCCA